CTCGGCTGCCTGCTGTGAACGCCTGTCTGGCTACCAGAAAATGTAAATACCCTCTGGACTGTAAACATGGACAAGTATCAGACATCAGCAGGTTGTACCTACCTTCAAACTGAAAAGGCTTTGTTTTTGTTTATCAAGAGACTAATATGGTTTCTGAATGTTCCCAACTGGTGTCTTAATGACCTACACGTCTTGATGCAGTCAGCAGTACAATATTTCACATCTGGCTGTTCATGTATCTGTTTTGTTCGTTTTATTGTTACCAGCTGACCCTTATATCACCATCACATTACCCTTCAGGCACCTGTGAAGTAAAATACCTGAGCAGTTTTTCTGCATACATCAGTATATTGTCGTCAAAAATGTGTTCCTCCCTGTCAGCATCAGTAGAAGATATACAGTCAACTTTATTGTCTGGTTTGCACTGTTGATACATTGCTTGAATAACAGTAAAAATCATTGTAGTAATTCTGTTGATTGGGCATTTTGTGTTTGGTTGCAATCACAAATTATTAAATTTTAAATTTAAATAAAGCCATTTCCACATTTCATTTAACATGTTCAGAACATTTCAATCCTCATTTCATATTGATCAAATCGTGTATAGGCCTATATGATTTTGTGGATTATGTTGCTCATGTCAGCAGTCCAATGCATGCATGTGACCATTTCCACTTGTTCCTTCACATGACGGTTGCTGCTTAAACAAATACTGGTGAGGAGACACAGAGAAGAGAAAGAGTCTCTCAATGCCAGCAGATATCACCATACCTGTACCTCTGAGAGGCCCCTGGACCAACTTACCTGACATATCATTATCATAGTCCATATACAAGGGCAAAGCTCTACTCCACAGCCCCATCGACAGTCAGAAATTGACTGATATTTAACGGCTAATTTGCCATTAACCCACCACACCCATGGTGTCAGTTATTCCTACGTAACACAGCAGCTAGTCCGCTGCCACTGGACGGACCACCAACTGCTGTTTCCATTGTTTTTAAACGGCTTCATTTTTTTCTCATTTCTGCTGAAAAGGGAAAGCAATATACTGTTAATGTGACAGTCAATATTGTGTATTGCAATAAGTCCACAGTATTTTTTGGTAACCCCCCAAAACAGGGCCTCAGCACAGTGTGTGCACACACTCCAAACAGAGTTACTGAGACCTGGCTGCTCATATTTCTATGGCCTTACAACTCTAATTAGAGCACCAATGCTAATTAATCGCATGTCTAATTTAGTTCTCCCTGCATCTCTGTTGATGTAAACACATACATCCACACCTTGTGACGGCAGAGGTTTTAAAGCCCTTACGCGACTGAATTTAAACCTTGTGAGGACTTTGAGAACTTGATGGAATAGACAACACAGTCCACTGAAAACAAAGCCAACTCAAATACCTTTACCAAACAAGCACTGCCACCTAGTGGAACATAAATAGAGAGAAGAATGGAGAGAGGGGTGAATGTCTTTTTTCCCCCTCTGGCATTATTGTTGCTAAAACAGATGAAATGACCCCCGAAGCTCAACAGATGGACTACGGTTCTGCTAAACAATACACATCTTCAAAAAATGTGAAATCAAATTTAAAAAACGTTACTATTTTTCATCATCAAACAGCTTTTTCTCCGCCGAAAAAGTCAACAGTGCAGATTACATGCCACAAATAACTGCTGGCGTCCAGATGACCTGAGTCTTTGTGTGACAACAACAGAAAACAGTCACATCTGTATTCCGCCAGATGTGAAGCTGCACTACTCATGTAAACCACAGAGAGGCGCTGTTCCCTTACTTAGTACATCTTCTGGAGGCATCTGTTTAGGAGAAACATTTGTTGTTGAGGATCTCAGCGTCTCAGACTTCCATTTGTTTATCCACTTATTTATTCATTCATTCCACTTTTAAAATGTTTGGTTGATTCAGGTATAAGATAGAAGCTGTTATAGAACATTTTAAGAAAACTGCATTTATTTCCTTACAAGATATATGCTTAAACAAACTCCTTTCATTCAGCCCTTCAATACAAACTCTTATCAATATCTCACGTTTATTTTTAATACGTGTCATTGAAAAAGGTGGAGCAACCATTAAACAGAACAAGTGCAAGATAATAATGATAATAAAACTGTTATTGTTCATGTATTGTTCCTAAATGTGATGTACATTTGTGGATTGAGTTTTATTTAAACAAATTAAATACACACAGAACCAACAGTGAGCTACTGACAAATCTTAACATCATTTTATTTAGTTAAAAAAGATGAATATTGATAAAGGCGTATCCCTTGTTGACTGTTTCATGAGTCATGTCATAAAGTCATAAAGTACATATCTATCTATCTATCTATGAGCTGAAGGTAATTAATGATGCTGGAATGTAATGTCAGAGATGAGCTGTATTTTATCAAGTCGTTTAATTAAAGTGCATGGTCGATACTCACTGTTTGACATTTGATGCAAAAATAATGCACATGAAGTGATTGTATGCTCATCCTGTATTCAAACTTTTAGTGAAGTAGTCTACAGGTATAGCAGCATTAGCAACACAATGCACTCCAAAGAGCAAAAGTAGAAATATGAACTGTTAGTTTTATATTATCAGCATATCATTTAAATACCATTATGTAAGCACTCCAATATTGAATTTGGCTACCTAAACTGTTGGGTAGTTTAATCAAAAATACATCCATTTCATAAACTAAATCATGTTTCTTTATGAAAAATCTTAATCTGAAATGAACAATAGTTGTTAAATACATAGATGAGTAAAAATTGCAATATATCTTTCTGAAATGTAGTAAAGTTGCCTCAAAGGGAAAAACTTTTAAACTTTAATTTGAATCATTTAAAACTGGGTGCTAAATAGATTCCCTTCAGATGTGAAATAGAAGCTTTAAGTGTGACCTTACTCTCAAATGTATCTGTTCACTGGTCAGGAACTAGGCTATGATATATAATATCTATGATACATATATATATATATATATATATATACTATATGATATGCATTATAACAAGGTGCAACAGGCAGAGTCCACACTGGAGGAATGTTTGTATTAAAATGTAAAGAACATCGTTGAAGCTCTATGGAATTGTTCTATCATTAGATTCCAGTAATTTAAATTGATAGCTACTGGCAGATTAAATTGCAATCCAGAGCAGGTGCTGCCTTTAATATCAAACACCATGTGACCTCATAGCCTAGTTCCCTACAAGAGGAAGGCTGTCGAGGAGTCACCTATCGAGATTCAGAAGGTTGTGAATAAAATACATCAAGGGGTGAGCTACGTGACCTAAAAGCAGCCTCGTTTTATAAGTGCCAGGGAGCAACGAGGCGGTATTTTTGAGTGCTTTCTGAAAGGTTTTTTTTTTTTTAGAACACATTTGGGTTATTTTACGGTGCTCGTGTTTGACCTACATTCAATCTGTTCCGGCCAATCTCCGGCGATAGTTTGGCTTTATGTAAACACACAATCTGTGGAGAGAAAATAAACGTGATGGAGAGGAGGAGGTGCTGTGGGAGCGTGGTGGGAGTCACGGTGAGCACCGCCCTTTCCGCACGTGCCAGCTTTTTCAGGCAAAGATCGTCTATGCTTGAAAAGAGGGCCCCTCAGTTGAGTTAAGACTGCACCAGTTTCCGTGTTGACAACGTGGGCGTTGGCTTTTGCGCATGCGCCCTGCTTATGCAGTTATGCCCAGAACACGGAAGGCACGTGGACAGGCATTGACTCGTTGACCTCACATTGCAGTACACTGTTACGTCTCAACTTCTCTGACTTGTGAAGTTTTATTTAAAAGTGTTATGTGTTGCAACTTGAAAGTATGTCCTACATAAATAATTACAGACGTGTTTAACCGTTTATTCAATTAATAAAAAACAACATTATACATGAAATAAAATCTTAAATGTACATTTAGGCAGTTGAAACTAAAATACTTTAAAGTATTTTATTAAATATGATAATATCATAAAGTATTAATATCACAAATATATATTGTTTAATAGTGATTTGTTCATACATACACTTCATTATATTTAATATGCATACATGTTTAGCCTGTCTAATAAAATGTGTATTAAGTATTATTAAATATACAATTTATTCTAAAATAACAGGGAAATCCATTATATATTGTGCACAAAAGACTACATGTCATTAATGGTATGGGTTATATAACTGTATAAAGCCTTCTAATTTAGATTTATTGATCTGTATATACCTGTAGCCTCGTGGTTTTTGCGTGGGGATCCATACAGCTTGAACCTATCTTGCTTTCCCTATCTTAAATGATGAATAGATTAGTACAGCATGTCCTGTTCCACAACATGTTTTGCTCAAACACATCTATGAAGGTAAAATATAAAGGTAGGCTGTACCTCTCACTAGATCATTTCCATTGACACCTTTGAAAATAAATAGGCGTATCGCCTTTGCTTTGCTTATATAACCCACCTTCATAACAAACCCGTGCGGACATTTTCAAAAAAAAGACTTACATCATGGCTGTAAAGCCCATTGTCGTTTGTCCTTACCGAACAAAACTGCGACAAAAGTCGGGAGAGGAGGCAGGAGTGAGACCTCTCGCTTCCTCTCGCCTCGGTTCCTCGTTGTCTTATCGCCCGAGCAACCAGGCAACCATTAGCATAAAATGTGTGTCAGTAGGGCAGCGTGAGCTCACATGCCATGCGCACATGCTGCAGAGCTTTAACCAGCATTCCAATGTCGAACGAGCACAATGTGCCGTCTCCACGCGGGGCTCTCGGCCAATGAAAAACGGAGAACGAGTGAAAGAGCGGGGGCACGAGGAAGGGAAGGGAAGGGAAGGGAGGGGTGAAATCGGGTGAAATGTTTTTTCAGAGAGCGTGACACACGGGGAGGGGGAGAGAGAGAGAGAGAGGAAGGAGAGAGAGAGAGAGAGAGAGAGAGAGAGAGAGAGAGAGAGAGAGAGAG